TTCTGGACGGTAGTGGCCGTGGCTGCTTAGGTGCCGAAGTTGGATGCGCCTTCGACGCCAGCGTCAGCTGGGAGGTCGTACGGCGGTGGTGGGGCTGAGCATAGGGCGACGGCGTTTGGCGGCGGGGGCGAGGACAGGGCGGCCGCCGTGATGAGTGAGGGCGAGGGCAGGGTGGCAGCGGCTATGGCGAGGGAGAGAGCAGCCTCGCGTCATGTGAGGTGACCGACCACTTCAGCTTCAGCGTTGGGTTTAGGTGGGGGGGCGTGACCCCTTCGGTGTGTGGGGGTGCGGAGGGGCTGTGCACAATTACCATACTAAGATAATGTGTTGTTTGTGCTTACTATGTGATGAAGAATTTCCATGCGTTTCCAGGCTGGCATTAATCACCAGAAGCTCTAAAGTATTATAAAACTGCTCCACACTGTATCGTAGCAAACAACTAGGACGTAACAAGCTTATACCTGCGCTGTTGTTAATTCAGCCAATAATTGATCAAGTGCACCCCCTAGATAGAATCCTCTGCCAACATCTGGTTTATGCATGTTGCAGCCCATAGATATTTGCATGGCCATTAGCAGAAGTGTTATCAGCGTAGTCCCCAATACCAGCGACATTCTTTGACCACTAGTCGTTGATTCCATCATTTTAGTCAGCAGTGTGTTGACGTTTTCTTTAGTGAGTTTCGGTGGTCCTTGTCCTCCTGGGTATGCATTTGCCGTAAACTCTGTGTTGTCATAATCAAAATAATCCCTCGTGTCAAACCGGAGGACGCAGAAATCATTACGTGTTCCACCAATCTTGAAGTATGGCAGTACCATAATACTTTCATTGAAACTTCAAATAATGCAAGCACGACCCGAATGATATGTCCTCCTTGCATTGGACAAACGCGTGTATCTTCTCATTGAAAAGACCAATGAACTGACCTGACTTTAGGAATAGCTCTGGTTGGGGGGGGTTGGGGTTGACCCCTTCAACGGGTGGTGGGGACGGGGGCACAGAGGGGCTGTGCACAATTACCATACTGCCCTTAAACTATTAAAATTAACTAAAGACAATATTTTGTGGACACCCAGAGGCACCCTCAACCACCGTAAAAGAGCTCTTTGTTGAAAACTCTCCGTGTTGAGACAATTTAGGAGCAAGATAGCCACTTAAACAAAAAAAAAACAGAATCAGTCCAAGCACACAATGACACATAAGAACCAAGAAAGGGAGATAAAAAGTAGATGACTTACACTGTGCCACCCCTTTTGTCTGTGTTTTCGTGAGTATGTGCCCGATTGTAAACTTTAGCTAAGTCAAAATTGGCTATTTTAGCTTTGAATGCTGAGTCGAGAAGAATGTTGTAACTTGTAAGGCTTCAGATCTCTGTGCAGGATGTCTTTCCAAGTGAAGATATTTTAGACCACGCGCAATGCCTTTTAGTATGTTGTACCACGTGCTCCAGCTGAGCCGTTTTGGGTTCAGTTTATCTGCTAATACAATTTGAAATACCTATTTACAGAACTTCAAAATGGAGATAACTTATTCTTGTTTCACAAACTGATAATATAGGTCAAAGAAATATAAATTTATTGGGAGTATGATGCCAAAACTTTTTAATCACAGGAATCGTACCTTTAAAATATTGGTCAGTGTTTAGTTTGCCGTATAATCATAAACTAAGAATGTACCATTCCCAGGAAGCAATAGCCTAACAATTTTAAGATATTCTCATGGTGCAGCTCAGTCACCAACGAGACCTCTGCTAACAATTTTTCAGAATTACCCTTCTTCATTTTTTTAACAGCAACAGATATCTTGTTTGTCAATAATCCCTGTGTAGTTCATACAGTATTAGCCAATTTATTGATACTTCAATACACATAGGTGTTTTGTATAAAATTTGCATATGTACTGATTCTTTTTTTTTTTTTTTTGAATGACATATGTACTGATTTTGAGACCCATCCCTATCACTTTTAATCTTGAGAACAAACAGAGATTGATGAACGTTTGATCTAGACTAAGGGGAACAATCATGTAGTGTCGTAAATCATGAAAAGACACAATGGGCTGCCTACACAAAATATTGTCTGTAGTTAATTTTAATCGTTTAAGGGTAGTATGGTAATTGTGCACAGCCCTCCAGCCCCCGCCCCGCCCCGCCCCCACCACCACTTGAAGGGGTCATGTGCCCTCGCCCCCCCCACCCCTCGCCTCCCACGCCCGGTCGAGGGGTCGGTCACCTCACGTGACACGAGGCTGCTCTCTCCCTCGTCCTCACACGGCGCTGCCGCTGCCCTCGCCCTCACTCGTCACGGCGGCCGCCCTGTACTCGCCCCTGCAGCCAATCGCCGTCGCCCTGCCCTTGGCCTCGCGCCCGCGCCGCCATATGATCTCCCAGCCGACGCTGGTGTCAAACTTGAATCCAACTTTGGCACCTCCCCTCCCTGCACACAAGCGGCCCCTTCTCTTCACTCACGTTACATAAGTCGTCAGCTTTGTTTTTTTTTTTTTTTTGAAGTTAACTAAGGGGGGAGAGGATCCCCACCTGGACATTTTATTAGATATCAAAGTTTAGACAGTTGTTACAGAGAGCATAGGGGTACATGGGCGGAGAGTTTACATTCATTCAGATTAAGGTTGAAAACGGACTGAAAAAATCTCGTTTCCACCCGTTTCGTTTTCTACTTTCTTCCGTCCGTTTTCGTATTTGTGGGATCCCGTTTGGGAAAGGGGTTTTTCCGTCCGTTTCTGTGAGATCCCGTTTTTATCCAGAATTGACCCGTATTTATTCTGTTTTTCATCCTGTTTTCAATCTATGTGAGATATATCCAGAAATTGATATGTTCATAAACCTACTAATCACAAATTATGCATGTTAACATGTTAACACATGGTATACTAGTGAATATTGGACCGATAATTTCTTACGTGTATATTATTTTGTGACTTTGTTCATGTATACTCAAGAATATTTGATCATGTTATTCTAACTTTTTTTTCCGGCTCCCTGTCTGTATTTGTCTGTTTCTGTATTTCCGTATATCCCCATCCGTTTTTAATTCCGTTTTTTTTCAAACCCGATCCCGCTTCCGCTAAAAATATAGAAACGAAAATGGGAGAGGAGTTTTTCCGTCGTTTTCATCCTCGATTCAGATACATTTGCCACCCATGGATGCTATCAGCAGTGCTGGCTTTCTTTAAGACAAGACTTTTTTCCACACAGCGAGATCCTCAGTAACGCGTGTGAGTATCTTCATTGTCGACGTCTGTTCACCCTGAAATATTTAATTTCATGACTCATATAGAGCTAGTAATCGTGCCAAGAGAGTTTCATCAACTCACTTCTCTCTCCTCTTAAAAGTATTATCATATCATCAAAAACACCTATGTGGCAACCTATTAAATACAAATGAAACTCCCATTGAATTCCCCTAATTTTTACCACGTCCTCACGGGATAACGATGGATTTACTACATTGCGATTTGCTATCACCTATGTCATGTGTGCTTCGTAATTCGAGAAGCCAAACATAAGCCTGAAATCATAACAGACGTCATCTCAGCATTAAATAGAAGCAATCTCTAGTATACAAAAGCACTCTGAAAAAAGTACTCCCTTCATAATGATATGTGTATTTTGTTCGAGAAAAGTCAAAGTCTCACAAACTTTGATTAACAATTAGTCAAATTATATATAAGTTGACGATATAATTTTTGCATCAATAGATTTGTATTCAAAGTGGTTCTGAGATGGTATTGATTCTTTAGCAAATGATAACATATTATAAAAAATAAGAGTTATTTCTATTCATATCCACTTATCAAAATACGTTTTTTTTTTTCAGAGACAGAGAGAATAGTAGTCTGATGTATGTGTCCTCGATGTACGTTTATTATTCTTCGGGGACCGAAAAAGTTTGCAGTGCACAAATATGAACAGTAACTGGTTGATATAAAAAAAACTCTGTTATGGTCATACAGTGTGCATGGACATGTGACCGTCAGGTGACTTGCCTGTTTGACTCTCGCATCATTTGATTTCTTTTCTGAACAACTCTTGCATTAGTTTCTAAACCCGAGGAATTAATTCTTTTTAATAACTTCTTAGATCTGCCAGCAACCTACGACTTGTTCGTTTCGTCGTAAACGATCGTGGATTATTTACTACTGGTTAATTTGGCTGGTTTGGTGTGAGAGAAAAATATTGTTCCAGCTTATAATCCACGATCGTATACGATCGTATAAGCCCAGCCAAACAGGCTGCTAGTCGCGTATAGCAAACTTTCTGTACAATATCATTGAATTGAAATAAATTAGGAGGGCAAGTGAAAATTTTCAATAACTTCATCAGAACACTGTTATGATTTACAAGGCAGGGGACAGGGACAATACCACAAGTTGCCATAACTTCAGAACAGTACAGTTCAACAGCTTAATAATAAGCAGACCTCAGAGTTAGACAAGACGTCGAGATCGACTATATATTTCATTGAGTCATATTCATCACAGGTCCTTAAAGCTGTTTATAGGTCTCATATCGGTTCTCAAAGTCTCAAAATGATTTTACGGGGACCTATACGATACCTATAGACAACTTCAAGGAGCTGTGCTGAATTTCACTCTATTTCATTCATGGCTTATATGATACTCCCAATTGAATGGATATAGTAATACCACCCACAGGAACTGCCCCACAAGGCAACTATGAACCTTTCATCCTGCTGAAGCATGGCAGAAGGCACCGTGGGGCGGCTAAGTACTTGAATCTTTATACGCGCTTCTTCAGAAGTCAGCCAATTATGTCCAGTTTATTATGCCATCCAAGAAACGAAGTCCGTACCTTTGTTAGATCCTCACCCTGCTCGAGATCTCCCTTCGTAGAGTCGTCGTCTATATAACTCCAGAATCTACATCGTTCGTTCCAAATGCATCACACACTCACAGAGTCACAGTGTGCGGTGTGCCCGGCCCATTCACTACCCCCGCAATCTGAAGGCTGAAGCCAAGCCATGTGGCAGTCCTCTAGGGCTTACTGCATAGCCTCTCTAGCGGCTCTCTGTCTCGGCCTGATGGCCATCTCTCCAGCAACCAGCGACATGGCTGATAGCGTTGACATGATGTGGGGCAACACACAGGTGCTCTATGATAGCTCCGGCCGCCAAATGGTGTCACTCTCCCTCGACTGCTGGACCACCTCTGCGTTCCGCTCCAAGAGCAAGTACCTCTTTGGGAGGTTCGACATTGACATCAAGCTTGTCCCCAAGGACTCAGCTGGCACTGTCACGACAGTATATGTAAGTAGTCTTAACAAGAAATGTGATTAATGAAACCATCATCATGTTCAGGTTATATTACCTACAGCTAGTCTAACCACGGTTCTCTTCCAATTCAAAAACAGATGGTAACAGAGGGGCCATGGCAATACCACGACGAGATTGACCTTGAGTTCCTGGGGAACACCACCGGTGAACCATACACCCTGCACACTAACATCTATGCAAGAGGGAAAGGTGACCGAGAGATGCAGTATCGTCTTTGGTTTGATCCTACTGCAGACTTCAACACCTACTCAATCATATGGAACCCGCATATGATCTTGTAAGTCATCAGCATTTTGCATCTCGTTGATTGAATTTATTAGTTTCTACCGTGATGCTAAGCCGCATTTTGGCAGCTCTGTGACATTTGCCAAACGCTTCTAAGGTGTGTCAGTTAGTACTAATCCATCTGCCTATTGTTGGGACGATGCAGAATACTTGTTAACGGCGTCCCAATCCGGCGGATGAGGAATCAGATGAGGGATGATACTCCCTTCCCACTCTACCAGCCTATGAGGTTGTATGCCAGCATCTGGGACGCTGACGAATGGGCAACCCAGGGCGGACGCATCAAAACTGACTGGTCCCATGGGCCCTTCACAGCCTTCTTCCGGAACTACACCGCCAACGCTTGTGTCCCATACAATAGAGCCTGGATTTGCGGCCAGGATTCCGGCGATAGCAGTTGGTTCAACCAGGAGTTGGATGAGGAGGGGGAGCAAAAACTGAATGATGTCAATGCTAAAAACAAGATATATGACTACTGCACTGACCCGAGGAGGTTTCCTAACGGATACCCTCCAGAATGTGGGTCACAGTAGAAGCTAGTATTCAGCAAGCATCTAGGGATTAGGAATGGTGAGAGGAGTACTGCAGGCTGTAGTCCATTCATTATGAGTATGATCATCATAGCAAATTGTATCCTTCATTCATTCTTAGGAGGGAAAATAAATCATGGATTCTCATATGTTTGCTGTGCATGTATCAAACAAATTATACTGAAAAACTGTAGAATCAAAAGTGAAACATGATATAGTGAGACAGATTTGTGACTCACTGCCAAAAGAAAATGCAAACGGTGAAGCCCAAGTGATAATAAAGTTGGCCAAGAAATGTAATCCCTCATCCTCCCATGGCCTGGATGAGCACCAGAAACATATCAGCTTCCAAGAAGCTCAAATCACAAACGTAAACAACATTCACTGTAAGAGAATATAGCAGTTACAGAGAAACTTGAACGTATCAAACAGATCAGCCACACCAAGTTTTCATGAAAAGATAAGTTTCAAAGCCCTCGGTATTATTTCTAATCTACATATGAATCAACCAGTAGGATTGGAGCAGAGCCACCAGCATCATTTCTAATCTGCATATTAATCAACTGAGCACTTCCTTCACTCATTTCCACACTGATTCACAGACAACGACAAAACTATATATTTTTTAAGCAAGTTGTGGTAGGCTAACACGACTACCAAAAAAAAGTTCAACAGTGTAAAAAATAGGAGGTATTTGTCTGTGAAAAAGAAGGGAAATAGCCTATAAACATAATAAATATATAAAGGATATGCAGTGGCCATAATGGTGTTCTAGATTATGAAAGTTAAGTTTAGAGCTTCAGATTAATCAGACGTGCACAGATATTACTAGGGTAACAGTTGTCTATTAACATCTTCGGTTAGATATCAGAGTTCTATAATGTATCTTCATCGGTGTTTTTAAAGCGTCGCTTAGGCGTCGCTTTAGCGCCAAGGCGCTGCACGCACGACGCTTTAGCAGACGACTCGCCTTAGATTCGTGTGGCGTCCGCCTTACAACCGAGGCGTCCAAAAAACGTCGCTTTGGCGTCCAAATCGCGCCAAATCGCGCATGGCAGGCGCCATACAAGGAAGCCTCTGCTTTGGACAGTGGGAAAACGCAGGAGAATCGGCGCGAAAAAAGGAAAGAGAGAGCGCGAGCGCACGAAAGAAACAGGCACACGCAGAGAGAGAGAGAGCTGGCACGCGGGAGAAACAGAGCGCAGAGAGAGCCGGCGCGCGGGGGACCCCAGTGAGCGGATGAGGAAGAGGAAGCCGCAGCTCACCCGCGCCGCCGCATTCATCCTCGTTGCTGGTGCCGGGGGAAGTTGCCGCTCGGCCGTCCACAGCCGAGCCATGCAGCTGTGCCCTCTTCCATCTCAGGAAGCCATGCAGCTGCGCCCGCATCTGGAAGAGAGGGAGGGAAGAGACAGAGAGAGGGGCAGAGGCCGGAGACGGAAGTCAGGAGAGTTGCGGCGGCGCTGGAGTCTGGAGAGGATTGGGGATTTGGGAGCAGAGAGATGAAGACATGCTTGGTGGGTGAGGGGCACATGGGCTGCCTAATGGGCTAGGCCAGACGTATTCTTACTCCTCCTTTCTTTTTCCTTTTTCCTTTTTTTTCTCTTCACCATCTACTGCTCTGAGCTGCTGTTTTAAATTTTTCTTAAGCTGTTAAGGCGTCGCCTCGCCTTACGCCTTACTCACTTAAGCGTAAGGCGGTAGTCAGTCGCCACGCCTCGCCTTACCGCCTTGAAAACATTGATCTTCATACACAGGCATGGCTATTTACTGCAAGGAAGCACAACTGCACTGACAATTTGGCTTATTTTTGTCCTTTATAAGAAAGATCAGAAAAAAAAGGAAGGTTTAGAAATCATACTGTAAAATTTCCCAAGGAACAGGCCATATCTAAACGAAAAATATACAATGGCATGAGAGAATTCTCAGAATAACATTAGTTATGACATTATCCAGGACAGTTCCAACTCCATTGAATATCCATGAACAAAGTCCCTACAATATGGTTTATGAGAATAAAAACTGTCTTATTTATTAAACAAATGCTATAATTTTCATATATGCTCCATAAACCACAAGCTAAACAAAGAATTTCAGCTTAGTGCGACAAAAAAACTGTCCTGATAAACCAAAAAATAAATCATGAATATGAGGCATGCTTAAAGCTATGTCTATAAAGATGGATTATGGATAGTTACAACAAAAATGTCAACTAGAAAATAACCAACACTCCTGTAGACCTTTTCTTCATTACTATATTTGCTTCTGAGGTTTCACTATACATAGCATTACAGACCACACACAGTTTACAGGAAACAGGCTAAGGCAGGACAAGGAACAAAAGTTAGCACCAAGGGGTAGAATAGTGTTATCAGAACATTTAAACAAGATGTGCATCACATTTATACATATAGAGCTCGTACCCAAAAGATTTTGTCCTCACATTTGTATGATATCATCTGCCTCCTGCATTGAAAAATATAGTTCTAACAAGAAACTGTTGTCATGCAATGCAACACTATAAAATAAATTAACTTTAACATCAAACAATGTGCTGTAGAAAAACAGAATGTGAATGGAAAAAAGAACACAAATTTCTAATTGCATTAAGAAAAATGAAACATGTTAGCTTTATATTGGAGAAAGTAGACATATGAAGTAATCATTTGCAGTCTGCCCAGGAATATATGGCACGTTTATCCTTAATTTGTCTGCCTTCCATGATTATAGCCAAAGTCTGGTAAAGAGCGTATCTCTGAGCTAGAGCATCAAGAGATCCAAAATTAGAACTAAATATCTAATGCCACTGAAAGATTTATTGCCGAAGGGCGGGCCTAGTGCAGGTGGTAGAGTCTTACCACCTATGACCGGAAGGTCCTGGGTTCGAGTCGCGGTCTCCTCGCATTGTACAGGCGAGGGTAAGGCTTGTCACTAACACCCTTCCCCAGACCCCGCACAGAGCGGGAGCTCTCTGCACTGGGTACGCCCACTGAAAGATTTATTGCCCTCGTTCCACTATTTTAATAAAAAAATATTTTAATCATACATAAATCACAGAATACAAAGTGTTAACCACAGCAGTTGAGTTTTGTTTCAATGCTACAAACAAATTTGGCACGTATGTGATAGAATGCATGAAAGGCAAGACAAACAAGAACATGCATACTCTATCACAACTGTATGTCCATTAAAACATCACACAGCTCATCTCTAGAGTCTAGACATTAAGGCAACACACACACACACACACACACACACACACACACACACACGCATAAACAGCAGCCAAGATTTCGGGCGAGTGTCTTGGTTGTCGCTGAGATCATAATTGCAACAAAAGGTAATTTCTATGGTGAAGATAGGGATGTTACACAATTATTTAACCAAGTCACAAATTACAAGGAAGTTAATTACCATTTCACCTTCAATCAATGCCAACATGTAAGATACACCAAACAAAACTATGCACATTATAGGCCAGTTGTGGTTAGAGCAGATTGCAACACATCTTCTAGGTACTTCTCTGCGGCTGCATACTGCCTCTTTTTGTCCTCTATAGCTAGTGCAGCTAGAGCTTTATCCTGGTTACAAATTGCCCAAGTACTCAATAATTAGCAATGGGTTCCACCAGAAAAAAAAAACAAAAGGCAAAAGACATACCGGAGGTAAATCCTGGTAGCTCCTTAATGTATCGGCTATGGGTTTTGCCTTCCTCTCAAGATCCTTCTTATGCTCAGCCATTTCCATCAACACACCATGATTGATCTCCGGCGTATAACCCACTCGATTAAGCATTGCCTGATAAAGATAGGAAGACAACAAATCTATAAGGCGTTGAAGCAGATTTGCTAATCAGAGAACAGTGTGTATCAAATAGCAAGGAATCTGAGCTAGTCGATGTGGTTGTATGCCTAGATGAAGTCCTCATCGAGGTGAATTTGGGTGCCTATTTTCTTCTTAATAAAATGCCACCTAGTTACTCCTAGGTTGGTCTCGGGTTTTTTTTTTTTTGGATCAAATAGCACACAACTTAGCCTACAAAGAGGCAAACAGCTCTTGGTAAGAATGAAAAAAGAATACCACATCAGCTCTAAAATGGTGGTAAAAACGTTTTTGTAGTAACAAAATCTTGATGTCAGATTTTTCAATTCACAGTTATGACTTTGTTCATCGCTTGCTATCCATAATCGATCACGGTATTGAAAACAGGTAATGGAGAGAAATAATAAATGTGTATCATTAGTTCAAAGATTCACAACCTATACAAATTATGTTTATTATTCCTGTGTCCAACAATCCGGTCGAAGGTATGCATCTCTAGATCCTCATGTCTACTGTCTACGTGGAAAGACTGAAGGTAGCTTAGCATATATATTCGAGGGATATGCTCAACTGTTCATAGTGCCAAGAATTATGAAGTTAGAATTTACACAGTGCTTCAGCTCAACTTTATAAAGACATGTCCCCTGAAAACTAGAGGTTCCATCCTACTGAGGAAACAAATCCAGAAAAGGTAGATTGGAACTAACAACACTTGCTGAAACACAAAGTTCAATCAGAAAGGCTGGCTACATAATTGCATAACAGCTGTGCTAAGTCTATCAAAGCTTCTTAAAATCTAGAAATACCCTATCTGAGATGATTTGGGTGTTGCACATTCTGTTCAACAATCATGTATTAGAATTATTGTACCTAATAATTAACCAATACATGAAATTGATAGCTTACAAGCTATTGCACTAGTTGACGGTTTCGATTTAGGTGATTGTCGTCCACACCTAGCATGTCAAAATCAAGAACTGGAAGCACAAGCAAAAGCCAACTCCTAATATAAATAATACAAAATGCTATTCACCTTATAATTTGAGACTTGGAGGATATACTGTCGTTCCTTGGAGTCCATCATAACAAGCTTTGTTTGTCAATCCGTCATTTGCTCTACTTGTTGCTTCTCCACATCATTTTTAAATTTCTCCAGCATCCTAGAAACAACACAAGTACTTATCATGTTTGACACAGAAATCTAGGTGACAATGATAACTAACGAGTGAGAACTCAAACTATGAAATGAACAGGTTTCCACTCACTTCTTCAGCTCAGTAAGCTTGTTTATGGCCTTCCGCGTGTAATCAAGTAGTGCTTTTGACTCCTTATGCACTTTGTCCCTCTTCTCCTCCACCTCTGCTCGTCTCAGAGACAAGTCTGCACTTGCCACCACAAAGCTGCAAGACAAATATTTTAGAAACTAGTCAAAAAATGCCAAGCAAAAAAGAATGATGTGACAGTTCCTATACCACCCAAACACCAAAAAGTCACTAGCTTCCTCAGAGTTTATGACAAAGTAACAAAATCAGATGCAATACATACATTCAGAGAAATTTCTTGTATCTACAACATTGAGGACATAGTTTTACATGTTTGCCAATTTAGATTTTTGCTTTGAGTTCCATTAAGTCATGTTAGTTTAGTCTCAATTTAGTGTGGATTCAAACCAAACATAAAAGCAAAAATAGCAGAGTGCCTCCATCAAGCGTCGGTTTTGTTAATTTCTGTGGATCAGAAGCTGGAGGGCATAGAAGGTTGAGGAGAGATGTGGTTTCTTGTAACAAATGTTGGTAGTTTGTCATGGTTGTAAGGCAGCCCTTTGTTGGGTTTTGTTCTGGATTCGAAATGATTGACTTAAACCCTGCACTGTAATCTGAATTGTTGTCCTTTCATCTTTATGAAAGACGAGACATGGCCCCAAAACTCTACAAAAAAATGGAAGATTCATCGTTCATGCAATGGCAGTAATAAAATTCCAAACACTGAACATATGTACCCGTCAGAAGTACAGATCTCTCAATTATTGCGTCTCTCAGAGAAAAGAAGAGCTATGCCGTTTGGATAATACGATACTCGCGGAACCCTAGCGCAAGGAGTCACCTGCTCATCTCGGTGTCACGGATGGCGAGGAGGTTAGCGACTGCAGCGACGGCTCGTGCCGCCGCGGCTGCGGGTGGTGGGAGCGCGTCCCTCGCGAGCCCCGCCCGCTCGAGAGCCTCCCGCAGCCGCGCCGCCTCGGCGCGGTACTCGGCCGCCTGCGCACGCAGCCCCGCAGCCGCGATTCCGGCAGCGCGGGACCGCCCCTGCGACGCAGAGGCCAGCGCGCGGAGGAAGGTCACCCCGCGCGGTGTGGGGTCGGGCCCCAGCGACAGCTCCGCCGCCGCACCTCCGCCGCCGCCTCGCCCTCCCGTCCCGCCCGCGCCCCCCGCCTCCGCGGCGAGGGAGGCCAGCCACGCATTTACCTCGGCGACGGCGGCGGAAGAGGAGGCGGATGAGGGTGCCGGGATGGTGGGGTCGAGGTGCTCGGCGGCGTGATCCATAGGAGCGAGCGGGTGGATCAGTGGGTGGCCGGCGACACGGAGGAGAGGAAATCAGAGGATGTGTTTAAATTTGGGATTAAGTCCACTTTTGGCCCCTCAACTGCGTTCGTCTAATTTTGACCCTCAACTATAAAATCTAATGCTAGTATCCCAACTGTCAAAATCGTTCACTTTTAGCACCTGAGCGCGGGTGGGGCTGTGTTTGTCCAATATAGAGCGGTTTTGACCATCTCAATGACCTGTGGGGCCCACACGTCATCTACTCAACCCCTCCCTCTCCATCCTCATGGCCACTCCCCTGACGCCTCCTCTCTCTACGCTGCTGTGGCGGCGGGCGCTCCCCTCGCTGGGTGGGTGTGCAAAGCACCCAATGAAAGCACGGCGGCAGAGGGCCGATGGGACGTCGCCGAACACCTCGGTGGGCACCCAACGATCGGGGACGAGCACCTCGGCGGGCACCCTAACGAAAGCACGGGCGAGCTCCTCGTGAGCACCCCAACGATCACGCCTCGGTCCATCTCGATTCCATGCCGTCCGGCGCCGAGGTGGCGTGGTCCATGGATTCATTGTGGTTTTGGAGGAAACCAACTTATTTCGCCGGCGGCAGAAACCACCGTGTGCCCGTCTCACAAGACGCAAGATAGCTCCGCCAGATGCCTAGCTCGTCACCTTCCGTCAGCAAGACAGCTTCGTGCATGTGGCTATCGACGACCAACGCTGGAGCACACCGGCGTCGGAGAGATATATTTCGCCGCCGACAAGCTTGGGCGAGAACACGCCCCTCGTTGCCCAAAGACCGCCACAGTCCTGGCCACAAGCCGTCGTGGGTGTTCAGCACCGTCCGGTGCCTTGATCGCCAAGACGAAGCGCGAGCTTGGTCCGCACCGCGTCAAAGCCTATGAGCCCATCGGGTGCTGCGGCTGCGGTTTGTGCCCCAGCCCCGCCTTTGTCGAGTGGCTATAAAAGCCGAGAACACGATCGCCATGACCGACCACCCGTCCCTCCATCCCTTTCCAAAATTCGTCGTGCCCAATCCATCTCTCACCAATTCATCTCGTACACAACTGCCTCAAGTTCCTACCTATCTCTTGGACGCGATGGCCGCACTCTCCTTGCTCCACTTCTTCGAGCTATTTTTCATGATTTTGCTCCAATATGATGCCTTGGTCTCGACTGCAAAATAGGTTAGCCGGAGGACCTTCACCGTGACGGGAAGGCCACTGCCGCCGTCGCTGCGAACCGGTGCACCGCCATACACATGCCCAGGCTTCCTCGAACCGTCTCTCTCGTAACCGACCCTACAGAAGCATTCGCGGTGAGTCCCTGTTTCTCATCCGCCTACCCGTTAAACCTCTACTGCCGCCGTCTCGTCGGAACGTAAGCGCCATCGCCGGCGAACCCGCGCTTGCGTGTGGTAGAAGCGCGCTCTGCTTCGTCGCTACCCCAAGCTGCGCGCGCTGGCCTTGCAGACCTAGCGCGTGGGCTCACAGCGGCCTCGCGCCTCCCTCCCTCGCCGCCGGGCGAAGCCTCCTCCCGGCTCGATTGGTTGCCCGGCTGTCGCCCCCCTGTGGCGTGCTCGCTGGAGCCGCCAGGGGACCGGGAAAAGGTGAAGACGAGGTTTTTATGGGTGCTAAATACAAATGTTATGACTCATGTGAATAGTAGTATGGAGTGAAGGTTAGTTTCATGAAAATCTAGGGTCTCTTATGCAAAATGCTTGGCAGCGCCAGGCCTCCCCTCTGGGCGTGCTGCTCCCTTGGCGTGGTCAAAACCGCTCAACGTCGGTCAAAATAGCCTTGTCCCCGCCCCAGGTGCTAAAAGTGAACGGTTTTGACAGTTGGGGTACCAGTACTATACGGTTTTGTAGTTGAGGGTCAAAATTAGACGAACCCAATAGTTGAGGGGCCAAAAGTGGACTTAATCCTTAAATTTGTGGCGATTTATTTCCCCGGAAATGGAAGGAGTGGACTGTGGAGTAGGCTCATGTTGTCTGTTGGGCCTAGCCAATTCTTGGCTGGAATTAACTAATTCTGGGCTTGCTCTGGGCCTCTGTCAAACAAATGCACACTTTTACTTTCTGAAAACAGCTTCGCCTCTCAAAACAACAAAACACCGTCACTATGGTCAACCCACGTATCAAGCTCAATCCATGTGCTTTGGATCGATTTGGTATGGAATTTAGTTCACAAATGGATTGAGAGGTGAATATATGGGCATCCAAACAAGGTCTTAGGGTGTATTTTAGGTTATATTTTGTTGAGGATCAGAAGGGATGGAGCTACTCCGTCCTACTTTCATAGCTATTTAGCTGAGTATTGGAATGAGCTATAGTGCTTACCTCCAGGAAAGCACAGAACTGGTCGAAGATTACAAAGGAACAAGTAGGAATGAAGCGGTTTTGGGATAGAATATTCGACCAGAGACTCAGATAGGCTCGCTCTCACAAATTGGTTGAACGCACTCGTCCCACCGAGACGTTGCCGCCCTCCGTATATTTATCTCTTATTAGATATTTAGACAAATTCAAACATATTTTAATTCAGAAAATAAATAGCAGAAAATTTATGATAGCCACGTGCATGTATAACCTATTTGCAAATGACATGGACAACATATACTAATCATCCCCTGTTCGCTCGAACTTATCAGCTGACTTATCAATTAGAATCTACAATATTTTTCTCTCACAGTAAAACAGCTTCAGCCGGCTTATCAGCTAGCTTTAATACCAGCCGAACATGGCCAGAGCCAGAGACACCGTAGGCATTGTTGCGTGGGGCCGTTGACCAAGCCTATTCAATGTAGTCGATCAAAGGTTGACGCAATGCTGAGGGGAAGTCGTGTAGTTGTCACCAGCTGTGTACTGAAACATCACCGGAAGTAGTCATTCAACTTCAACGTCGTGTACCCGTGATATGAGCGGTTGCGCAAGTGTGTGCTCCCCAAGAGCTTGATCGCCTGTCACCCATACAGGTTCGTGGTGAACATTGTGGTTCTAAAGTCCTGTCTCCCAAGTTGCCTGTGCACTCAGACGTTCGTGAGACTAGGAAACTCGGAGATAGCAACAAGCATAGAGTGAGAGGTGGTATGCGCGGTGTGTTCATGAGACAGTCAAGGGGCACATTTGTTAGTGGAGAAGGGGCAACGGGTGTGAGACATTACCGGAATGAATAATCAAAGAGTAATTAGGTATTTAGTTCCTTTAATTAGGAGACATTACCCTATGGGGTGTTCGGCTGTAGCTACAGTAACACGTGGTAGGCCTTTCTTCTCTCACGGTTTACTGTAGCTGCAGCCGCTCACATCCTATACTCTTATAAAAACAAAACCCCACTAGCAATTTTTCTTGACATGCAAGGTGTCCACCTCAGCAGTTCACTATCACTTACATGCAAGGTGTCTACCCCAGCAGTCAACTATCACTTGCAATTAAATTCACTAGCACAAGCAATTATGACATCCACGTCAGCGAGACACATCATTCATTACCATATATTTAGTTGTCCACATCAGCATGACACGCTATCCACTAACATTAGTTTATAATAGTTAATCTATTCCTAAGAATTGTATGAATAGTTAAATTTCATTCCAGGTCAAGTAGTTCCCGCAAGTTATCATGCATTACTCCCGCAGGAAAGCTAATGATTCCGTTAATGGAATAATCACCGATTAATCAAGCATTGCTTCATTTGACATATAGTAGTGTCTGTCCTGTATTACTCGCACAAGAATGGTAATAATTCCATCAATCCATCAATCTAGTATCTACTGTATACCTAAATAGGAGAACCTCGTTAGCAGACTTCTCTGTAATTCTAGAGAGCCACGTCATCCAGGGTCCCACATCCACAAGTCACGACGCATGTGCAGCCGAAATGTACCTCCCCTGAGTGCTGGTCGATTTCTAAAAGGTAGGCTGGCCAACATGCGAAGAGGCGTCCGATCAGTAGAAGAACGCATGCATGACAGTAATTATTGCTGATTAAGTGGATGAGCAACTCAGAATACAATGTTTCAGTGCCAGTAAATTGAACGATCAATTCGACCCCTACGGCTTCCGATCCAGCGTATTATCGTGCGGCGCTCATTAATGTGCTATGGCCAACATGGCAACATGGGATGGGCGCGTTTGCGAGGGTGTACCTCGCTGGCCTGGCCGGCTGGCCATGGCCTGGCCACCCTTAGTCCGGTCCAAATGGTGCAAGTGCTCGTGTTTGTCATCGTGGCTCAACAGAGCCAAGCTCGATTGAAATCGTGTTTACTGTGCTTGTAAAATTGAATGCAATCTGTCAAGGTGAGAGGCAGGAGGTGATCCAAATCGCCCCCAATGACTCGCCCGTCGCTCCATCGGGCCAGGCTCCCAAAAAACGATCGATTTCACCGTTTCCTGAGGGCCATGAGAGAGAGTAGAATTTGCACCACGTGGGCCAGGCTAAGGGAGGAGAAAACGCCACCAAACACCAGAATGGGCTCCCGGGGGCGCAGCCAGGCCCACGGGCCACCCTTGCAAACATGCTCCTAATGACATGTATGATCCTATATAAGCGCCTCAAGCCTTCTGATTCTTCTCGAGGTGCTGCCTGCCTGCCTTCTTGGACTGCAGGAGCAGGATCTCCGGACCCTTCGTGTCCTCTTCTATGGAAGCACTAGGTGCTGCCGCTGGTTAATGATGGCCTCTTATATTGCGATGTCGTTGAGTCGACATCGCTGGTGGTGACGTGACGAGCGCGGCGGCCGGCGGAGCCGCTACCGCCAGGATCGCCACCATGGAGCTCCTCCCAGCGCAGCAACACGGCAGCACCGGCATCTCTTTGGCCAAGGCGGCAAAGCCGGATATTTTTTAATGCTCCTCCTACCGTAAGTCTTCGAAGTATCTTACATCCATAGTTTTAAATAGCGGGCTAGCGTCGCTATAACCGCTGGAGAGAGACAACGCTAAGCTATTGTCACTTTTGCCGCTATGTCAACTACGACCGCTATATTGCGCTATAGCGCCG